CTGTCTTTATTTCTTGGTTAATCTAGCTAAAGGTTTGTCAATTTTGTTTATCTTTTCGAAGAACCAGCTCTTAGTTTCATTGATTTTCTATTATCTTTTTAGTGTCTGTTTCATTTTTTTAATAGATATTTATTATTTCCTTTCTTCTAACTTTGGGCTTCACTTCTTTATCTAGTTCCTTTAGGTGTCAAGTTAGATTGTTTATTTGAGCTTTTTCTTTTTTTCTTGAGGTAGGCTAAATACTCATCGTTTTTCCACTGAATTGAACTCAATTCTGTTTTCTTTAAATATATTTTTTATTGCTTATGCTATTACAATTGTCCCAATTTTTTTCTCCCCTTTATTCCCCTCTACCCTGCACTGTGACACGCGCCCCCCGCCCCCCCGCCCCCCCCACCGCTGCAACCGCCAGCATGCTTCCCCTGGCTTTAGTTTATATCCATAGGTCATACATATAAGTTCCTTGGCTTCTCCATTTCCTGTACTATTCTTAACCTCCCCCTGTCTATTTTGTACCTACTATTTATGCTGCTTATTACTCCCTGTACCTTTCCCCGTTCTTCCCCCTCCCCCTCCCATCTGATCTCCATTTCTATGATTCTGTTCTTCTTCTAGATTGCTTAGTTTGTTTTTGTTTTTGTTGTTTTTTGTTCAGTTGTTGATAGTTGTGAGTTTGTTGTCATTTTACTATTCATAGTTTTTGATCTTCTTTTTCTTAGTTAAGTCCCTTTAGCATTCATATAATAAGGGCTTGGTGATGATGAATTCCTTTAACTTTACCTTGTCTGGGAAGCACTTTATCTACCCTTCCATTCTAAATGAGAGCTTTGCTGGATAGAGTAATCTTGAATGTAGGTCCTTGCCTTTCATGACTGAATACTTCTTGCCAGCCCCTTCTTACCTGCAAGGTTTCTTTTGAGAAATCAGCTGACAGCCTTATGGGAGCTCCCTTGTACATAACTAACTGCTTTTCTCTTGATGCTTTTAAGAGTCTCTCTTTGTCTATAACCTTTAACATTTTAATTATGATGTGTCTTGGTGTGGGCCTCTTTAGCTTCATCTTGTTTGGGACTTTCTATGCTTCCTGGATTTGTGTGTCTATTTCCTTCACCAGTTTAGGTAAGTTTTCTGTCATTTTTTTTTCAAATGGGTTTTCAGTTTCTCGCTCTGTCTTCTCCTTCTAACATCCCCGTGATGTGAATATTGGTACTCTTGAAGTTGTCCCAGTGGCTCCTTACACTATCTTTATTTTTTTGTGGGGGGGGGGGAGTTCTTTTTTTCTTTAAGCTGTTCTGATTGGGTGTTTTTTTACTTCCTTATATTTCAAATCACTGATTTGACTCTTAGCTTCATCTGCTTGATTCCTTGTAAATTATTCTTCATTTCAATTAGTGTATCCTTCATTTCTGACTGGTTCTTTTTTATGCTTTTCATGTCTTTTTTTTTTTAATACTATTGAAGTTCTCACTAAGTTCATGGAGCATCCTTATCACCTCTGTTTTGAACTCTACCTCTAATAGTTTGCTTGTCTCCTTTTTTGTTTAGTTTTTTTTTTTCTTTTTCTGGAGTTTTATTCTGTTCTTTCATTTGGGACATGTTTCTGTGTCTCATTTTGGCTGCCTACCTATGTTTGTTTCTATGTACTGGCTAGAGCTGCTATGTCTCCCAGTGGCCTAATATAGTAGGTATCCTATAGGGCCCAGTGGTGCAACCTTTCTCTTTACCTGAGCTGGGCACTCCAAGTGCATGCCCACTGCCCCCCACCCCATGTGGGCTGAGGATACCCTCCTGTTGTAGGTGAGCCCTGATTGCTGTTGGCACATTAATGGGAGGGATTTACCCCCAGGTCAGTTAGCTGCAAGGACTGGCCATGACCGCTGTGGAGGATCGACTTTGCAGGGGCTGACACAATGGAGGAGGACTTACTTCAGAAAGGCTCTGGTACCCACTGAGTCTGCCTCTTGAGTGTGTCCCTTGTGGAGGTGGTTGGGCGGTGCTTGGATGCGATTTGAAGCTGTCCACCAGGTGCAGTAGCTCTGGGGCCTTCTGGGAGGTGCAGGCCAAGGTTAGCAACTGCCTGTGTTCTGCAGGCATGAGCTCCAAAGCTATCTGCAGAAGGCTGTTACTTGCACTGGACCCGGAGGTGTGCAGGGGAGGCCAAGTTTCGAACCTAGGCTGGCTGCCGCTAGTGCCAGGCCTGGGGCCATGTAATAAGAGGTATGGGGCATACCAAGGCTAGATGCTACTTGCTTGAAAGATTTTAGGAAAATATGAAGCATGAGCCTAGACAGGCCATTTGTATGGACCAGACTCTGGAAACAGCTTGGGTGGACCCACAAGTTGGGTGGGGCAGGGCCTCAGGGAATCACCAGGGTGGAGTGAAATGTGTTTGCCAGGTTGATGGAGACCCAGATATGGCACAGCCTGCCATCACTGTTGGGGAAGGGTCCAGCAAAGGAACAGCAGCCTCTTCCAGCACTTCTGTCTGCCAGAAAGCTGCCCTCCAGCTCTTTCCCTGATGCCGAACAACTCAGTTCCTCCCCATATGTCCCTGGTGCCCTTTGAGCCGCTGCTCCAGTGCTGAATCTCAGAGAGAGTGAGTCTGAGTTCCTCAGTTTCTTTAAAAGGAACATCTGGGACTCCAGAAGCCCTCCGTCTCACTCAGACACAGTCCCTACTGGTTTTTACAGCCAGAAGTTATGGGGACTTCTCTTCCTGGTACTGGACCCCTGGGCTGGGAGCCTGGATGGGGTTGGGACCCCTTATTTCTCAGGGGTGTCTCCATAACCAAGATACCCCTCCCACTTTTATTACTATTAATTTTTAATCCTCACCTGATGTTTTGTCCACCAATTTTAGAGAGAGGAAGTGGGAGGGAGAGGAAGGGGGGGGAAGGGAGGGGGGAGAGAGAGAGACATTAAACATCAATAGGTTGCCTCCCGAACATGCCTTGACCAGGGATTGAGTCCTCAACCCAGGTATGTGCCCTGACTGGGGAATTGAATGTGCCACCTTTCTTACATGGGATGATGCTCCAACCAATTGAGACACTGGGCCAAGGGCTCCCTCCTGATTTTTACCCAACACATATGGGTGTGGAACCAGCCCATTCTGCATCTTCATCCCTCCTGCCATTTTCAGGGCAGCAGCTTCTGTATAGCCTTAGTTGTAGGACTTCCATTCAGCTAGATATTAAACAGTTCTCAATGATGGTTGTTTTGTAGTTTAGTTGTAATGTTGATGTTCTTTCTTTTCCTTTTTTTTTCTTTTACTAAATCTCATTTGTTCTCATTTTGGCCAAGTTGTTGACTAGTTCACTGTTAAAATCAGATGAGGTCGAGGTCCAAATCATCATTATATTGGGTTGAACAAAAAGTCTGTGTAGTTCTTTTTTTGGTAAAATAAAAGACACATTTTCAGTTTTCACCAATAACTATTGATTTGGATATTTTGAGTGTGTTGGCTATGTCCCACGTTGTAGACTGTTGATTGTTCTCAGTTAATGTCTCGATTTGATCGCTATCATCTTTAACTGGTGTACTCGACTGTGGAGCGTCATTCATCAAGAAATCTCCAGCATGAAACTTGGCAAAAACTATTTTTAACACATTCAGTTAGTCACAGAACCCTCTTCATATACTGCAGAAATCTTTTTTTTTTTTTTGCATTTCCTGTGTGTTTTTACTTTTCTTGAAATAATAAAACATAATATGCCAAAAATGTTACATATTTTCTTCCATCTTCAATATTAAAATGGCTACACAAAAATTCACTGATTTTGATAAGTTTTATTTAAATGAATGATGATATGATGGCTGTCATATACAGCCTAACAAAATTGTTTTGAATAAAGTCAAAGACAACTAAGTGCTACTGGAGCCATCTTATAGAAAAAAACCAACTACACTTTTTTGCCAACCCAATACAATGAATAAAGTTCTGGAACACTAAACTTTTACTTTAAAATTTTCTGGGGGGTACAGTATGGGGTACGAATCCAATATTAATTTCTTTTCCAGGTGGCTACCCAGTAGTCCTCATACGTAGTAGGGTATGTTACATAAATCAATGAATCAATCCCACTTTGCTGTTGAAGGCTCAGGGATATTAAGTTACCCAAGGACACTTAGCTAGTCTTGTGTGGAAGAGCCAGGTGTTAACTACTGTATTCCACTCCCATCTATGCCTCTAATCACCATGAGATACAATGAGCAGAATGTTAAAGGTCTTCTGGAAACAAACATGAGGTCAGTAATAAAAATTGCTGACATTTATTGAGCACTTATGTGTGAAACATCTGTTGCATGCTTCCTGTATTACTCTGGTTGTTCCCACCCCACCCCCAGCCCTCTCTGGAGGCATTATTAACTATCCCCACTTTGCATATGAGGAAACTGCAAGCTCCCTTTTCTGTGCATCAAAGTTAGTGGATCTCTTTATTATGGCACTTCTCAGTGTCTTTAACACAGTGTTCCAATGAAATGTCTACACTGTTCACAAGAAGTGGTTGTTAACAGAGCAGGTGGGCTGGGGTGGGGCATTTTGAACTTTTTACAGTAACTGAGAAATTAAAGATGGTCTCTTTTGCTTTTTAAAATGTATATTATTACATTGTGTATGCATTTTAGTAGGATATTCTGAATACTGTTTGTAGTGTGCGTCTTAAAGAGGAGAAGGACCCGTTGGCAATTGACTGGGCCCTCTTTGTGGTCCTAATAAGGTCTTGGCTGACTGCTAAATCTTGTGTGGACATCATCTTATTTAATCCTCAGGACAGCTTTGTGCACCTCATGAGCTAAGACAGCTCCCCTTCTGCAGGTGAAGAACTGACCTGGGTCCTAGAAGATTAAAGGGCTTGCTCAGGTCTGTGGTCTCAAGGAAGTGCCAGTACTGGGACTCATACCCTCATGTGTCTGACCCTCCTTGTCTCCTAGATGTGTAGGTACCAGATAGATGTCTCCAATTGCTCTCTTGGACAACTTTGGTTTTCTCTTCCCCAGGGCCACAATTATGTCTCTGGAAGACTTTGAGCAGCGTTTGAATCAGGCCATTGAAAGAAATGCCTTCCTGGAAAGTGAGCTTGATGAGAAGGAGAATCTCCTAGAATCTGTTCAGAGACTGAAGGATGAAGCCAGAGGTCAGGAGGCCTGGGAGTTGTTCCCCGTGCCCTCACCAGCATTGTCCCCTCTCTGCCCCCTGAGAGCATTGCCCAGTGTTCCCCTGCTGGAAAACTGTACCCTGCTTGGCACACAGGCTCTGTGGTCAGAGGACTGGGACCACACTGAGCAAGCTTGAGCCTTGGCTCCCACCCCTGGCTGAGAATTGTCAGATGTTCAGCCTGGAAAGACCCCTTGTGGGTATTTAAACCCACAAGCAGCTTTATGCTCAGGAGGAGCGCAGGAGTTCTGTGGGGAAAAATTTCTGTTGATAGAATTGCGAGCTAATCCATTATTTTTGTAATTTGATGGCAGCTGATACATGTGACTTAGAACTTCATCAGCATTTGCTCTTTGGAAGCTGGCAATTCCAGAAGTAGTGTTTTCAAACTGTAATATGACATTAGTGCATCATCCAAGTTGGATGTATAAGAGATTTTTTTAAGAGTACCAATTTTTTTTTTGTAACATTAACTTAGTTTCTAATGTGTGGCCAGTAGAAGGGTGATGAAAAAGAAAAACTCAAGTTTATAAGGTAGTTGTTCCTAAATGCCCATCAGTAAGGAAGTGGTTAAATTTTATAGACTGACTTGGAGGAATATTAAGCATTTGTTAAAACTAACAAGGTATAGATATAAATGTGGTCGTAGAACAATTGTTAGGGCATACCACCGAAGTGAGAAAGATAAGTCATCAACAGATGTATGTTTCTGTTTATACTAAATAAAAAATTATTCATATTAGATGCTTAATAGATAAACAAGTATATACAGGGTGGGGGAAAAGTAGGTTTACAATTTTGACTATGCAAAACAGTATATTCTTGTATTATTATTTATTGATTATTGTATTATTTTCAATATGAACAACTGTGAACCCGCTTTTGCTGCACCGTGTATAAAGTGCATGTATGAAAGTGCAAAGAAAAAGGATTGGTAAGATCTCTGTGTTATAGTGATTATGAGTGAAGAGGAGCATTTGGAGATGGGTTGGGGAAGCGTATTTTTTCACTTAGTATTCCAAATACCCTACCACATTGAAATTTTTTTTGAAACAATAAAAGCATTAGTGTATTACTGCTATCATTTAATTTTTTAAAAAAGATTTTATTTTTAGAGAGAGGAGAAGGGAGGGAGAAAGAGAGGAAGAGAAACATCCATGTGTGAGAGACACATCAGTCGGCTTTCCCCCACAGGGGACCTGGTCCACAACCCAGGCATGTACCCTGACGGAGAATCGAGCCGGAGACCCTTCAGTTTACAGGATGATGCCCAATCCACTGAGCCACACCAGTCAGGGCTGCCATAGTTCAATTTTTAAAAACCTTTTTGTTTTTACTCAAAAGAAAAATCATGTAGCTTTACAAGCCTGCTGGACAATATCCTGTGGTTTCATGTCATTCAGAGTTTCCACCTGGGGTTCCTTATCCTGATGCTTTTTTTCCTTGACCAATGTCTACTGCTGACCCATCCTCTCCTTTTCCCCCTCCCCCATCACCCAAAGCAAGGACTTAACCTGCATGCTTTTCCTGGCCCAGATTTGCGGCAGGAATTGGCTGTGCAGCAAAAGCAAGAGAAACCCAGAACCCCCATGCCCAGCTCTGTAGAAGCTGAAAGGACAGACACAGCTGTGCAGGCCACTGGTTCCTTGCCGTCTACCCCCGTGGCTCATCGGGGACCCAGCTCTAGCTTAACCACACCAGGGACATTCAGACGTGGTAAGAGCAATGGGAGTCGGGAGGCCTTTGCCTCACAAAGCTTTCCTGGGTGAGAACCTGGTGTGGGCCCTGAGTACAAGAGAAATTGGAGGGGGCCCGGCAACAGGGAGCAAACGGGCATGTCCTCGGGTAGAGCGTTGCTGTAAGTGAGAAGAGCCTCTTGGGTGTGAGGAAAGCAGTGGGGTCTGTGGTGAACTGGAAAACGGGAGCCCCTTCTAGAGGGGGGTCTGCTCGTCCCACGAGAAAGGTGGGCCTAACAGTAGCAGACATTTCTGTTCTTCACCAGAAGCCTGAAATCCTCTTACTGAATATGAACACTCCCAAATTTAAAACTTCAGTAACCAAATAAAAAGGGTTTTGTGGGTCCAGTAATGTAGTCTACTAGAAATGGAGCCAGTGCAATCTGTGTTGTGTCGTGAAAAATGAAGAATTTTGAGTTTTCACCCCACTCCCTTTCCCCTGCTGACTGATTAACTGAGATTCTTAAGAGTCACTCAGTGGCAAATAATGATAGTGGTTTTCGAGTACCCAGTCACTGTGCTTAAAATGTACATGTATGTGTATATGAGACTTCACTGTATTCTTACCACAGGCCCAAGGTACCAATAATGAAGGTGATAACCCCCATTTGATGGGTGGGGTCCTGAGGCCCTGAGTTGAGGGCTTGTCACCCAGCAGGGGAATGGCAGAATGGGGATTCAAGCCCAGACTGGCTGGCTCCAGGGCTCACGCTACTGCGTACTGCCTTATCCCTTCGCTTGTCCTCTGGGGTGAAGAGACTGGTGAGATTTCCAGAATCCCAGTCTAAAGTAGTAGTTTCCATACTTTAGCAGGTGCAAGAGTCCTCTGGGCATCTTGTTTAATGCACCTCGGATTCAGCACATATGGGCAGGACCTGAGATGCATTTCTAACAAGTGCCCAAATGATCCTGTGCCGCGGGTCCCTGGGTCCTGCTTTCAGGAGAGAGGCTGTGTAGAGTAGAAGCCTTACACATGTGGTTGGCAAAGAGGCTCTTCGTGTTAACTGGCTAGATGGAATTCCTGGAATTTCAGGAGGGTTTGTGTTGATTTTTTGTTGTAAAAGAGTAACAGGTAAAGATATATGTTTAATATAGTTATTGTAAGGCTGCGAAAGGTTGGTCATCAAATAGACTTTTACTGTGAGACAGTTAACTATTGAATGAAACAGGGCAGTGTTCAGAATCCAAGGCAAGAGTAGCTTCCTTGGCCTACCCCTGGGGTTTTGCATTTAGAAATGTTAGTGCACAGACTTGTGACTGTGGGTTGGTGTTACATGTGCTTCCTCTTGTACGCCCAGGTCTCGATGACTCCATGGGTGGGACCCCCCTCACGCCTGCCGCCAGGATATCTGCCCTCAACATCGTGGGAGACCTGCTGCGGAAAGTAGGGGTAAGGCGGGCTCGCGCCTCCCTGGGGTTTGGTGTGGCTTCTTGCCAGTCGTTCAGGGTAGTTGCGAGGGGTGACCTTACCAGTTCCTTTCCCCTTTGACAGAGTTCATGAATTCTGAGTGTTGCTCTGGGTTTGTCGTGTCCCTTAGAATCACAGGAGTTTCTGTGGCTGTTGTTACTGACAAACACCCAGAGCCCTGTGTCATTCCTTTGATCCCTGGGTAGATCTTTCTTTCCCTGTACCATTTTTCCTTGGGATTTGGGAAGTTCGGGTGGTCTCTATGAACTTTATTTTCTTAATTTGAAAAAACTGAGAAACATTTGAAAATTGCCTTCTTTTCTTTTTATTTCTCAGGGTGTTAAAGAGAAAATCTTGAAAGGCTAAGGCAGGGAACTTGAGTTGATAGGTTTTATATTAATTACAGGGAAGGATTCTTTTGTGCTTAAGAAGTAACATAGGTATTCTTTGTAGTTGTTCCTTTTATTTTTAAAAGTGATGGTTGGAAGGCCACATAATTTAACTCTGGCCAGTGCGATGTCAACCAGAATGTATGTATCCAGAGCTGCAATTTAATAGGAGCTTGCAACTTCTTTCTTATGTTTTCACTTTAGGCTTTTGGTTGTCTGGTTTTCTGTTATATAAACAGGCCTTTAATTTTTGCACAGTTAGAGTATAGAGAAGCCTGGGGGGTTCTCAGTGCCCTTTTGGTTTTTGCGGGGTCTATTTACAGCAAAGCAAAGTCCTCGTTTAAACCTCCTGCCTCCCTGCATGTTCAGTAAGATAAACAGAAGGGAATGACCCCCAGAACTGATTTTATATTTCCCATAGGCAGAGTTGGATAATCAGTAGGGTTAGTGATTTCCAGGAAGCAACTAAATATCTTAGACCAGCGGGTCTAAGAGTCTGACAGGCATTGGATTCCTTGGGGCCCCACTTTGGAATTCCAGGGTACAACACACTGTTTTAGGTTACTGTCTGCCTGCAGGCTCCAGGGAGAGATAAGGGTTTTTTGTCTTTAACTTGACCGATGAAAGCATATTTCTCTCCAGGCACTGGAGTCCAAACTCGCATCCTGCCGGAATTTTGTGTACGAGCAGTCCCCAAACCGAACAAGTGGCACCTCCTCAGGACGGGGGAGCAAGAACAGAGATGGTGGTGACAGACGGCCAAGCAGCACCGGCATGCCTCTGGGTGATAAAGGGTCAGTACCTTTTGCTGTCACTTCCAGTGGGAACCTCTAACGTCTTACCAAAAGCCATTTTTCAAAAGTTGCAGGATTATGTCAGTGAACCGTCCCTCGAGACAGAGTTAGGTCGTGTCTTCTGTTTGGGCAAACGGCCAAGGAGAGGCATGCGTTTATCATCAGATTCTGCAGCCACAGCTCCTGGTCACGCTGTGAGGATGTCCTGTATAAATCATTTGTTTGGAACTTGAGCTTCAAACACTGCTTCCTCCAGAAGAGGATTTTTTCCTTTTCTTTTTTAAAAAAAATCCTTAGAACTTTCTGGAAACCGGCACTAAATTCCAGCCAGACTAGAATCTAAAGCCAGTCACTGGATTGGAGTACAAATCTGACCTCTCATGGCTTCATTCCTTTTCTTGCCTGAAGACAATCAGGGCAGCTTCCACCCTCAGTAACTTCTCAGATGTGCGCCACCATCTTTCTGGTCCTTAAGGCACATAAATGTGGTGGGTCCGTGGCAGACAGATGGCAGGAAATGAAGAATTGTTTTCCGTGGCATGCACGTAACTTCCGGACCTTTAAAGTGGGCTTTCTAGAGGGTGTTCTGCACCTGGGCTTTTTGTGTGGCTTTGGGAATATGAGAGCTAGACAGCCAGTGTCCTTTTCTTCATTTCACAGGAGAGAAAATTGAGACGCAGTGACACAGCTCCTGACTCTTGATATTCACTCTTATAACTGTGGGCCCGATGATAGTCAATCTGTAACAGCTGTAATGTCCGCTTAATTTGGTTTGCTCTGTCTGAAGGTCGGGAAAACGCCTGGAGTTTGGGAAGCCACCTTCAAATGTGTCCTCACCATCGCTGCCATCAGCCCAGGGTGTAGTCAAGATGTTGCTTTAGAAAATCCACAGAAGCGAAGCTACTGGTGTCTGTGCAGGAGCTGTTCCCTTTCTTCCCCTCTTCACACTAGGTTTTTGTTTTTTTTAAGTTAGTTTGAGATATATGGGCAAGCAGCCCCACTAGCCAATGACTGAGGCCATTGCCTGTGGCCCCTGGTGGTTGACCCTGTGAAAAGTTGTCTCTTCATCCCCAGCCTCCTTGTGGGTGTGTTGCAGAAGGACAGAGACAGAATGAACCCTCTGGAAAGGGCTCTGAGGCGTAGGTGCTGAGGCTACCCCGTCATTATGAGCTAACCCAAGTCCCGATTGGCCTTGAGAGGTGTTTTTAATGTCCAAATATGTCTTTCAAGGGGCATCTGAGCCCTCCTCAGGCTCACCCCAGCCCCATTTAGGCAGAGCTTTCTTCTAGGACAAAGTCTCCCAACACTGTATGGCACAGCAAGGATCCGTGCACTAAAATCATGTCTAGAAGCGGAGAGTAGACCAGGCACGTTCTTATTAAAACTGGTGTAGTGTGCCTCCCACACTTATTAATCTGCCTCTCGTTGAAGCTTTTAGAGGTGTACTTGAGTTTCAGAGTACATTTTATGTGGACCAGGTTGGTGGAAAATCTGTCCTCTTGAGATTTGTCCCGACTGTTAGTTGTCCTGAGCCCCATCCCTGGCATGTGGGTGACCTCCTCTTCAGGACCCTCAAGGTCATTGGGATGGAGTGGCCTTGGAAACACATGCTTTAAGAATTGGGTTTCATTCAAGGCCGCAAATGAAATAATCAGGGTGACCTTCAAATAAGATTAAACCACCAGGATTGTTGGAAGCTTCCTTGTCAAAGAAGAAACGAACACAGGATTTTCATCCTGGACAGCATATACTTACCACTGCTTGTTGTGAATAGCTGTCTCACGCTTTCTGTCACAAGCGAAAAGGACATGAATTCAGAAGGATGTGTATAGTTTAACGACCTTCCTTTTGTTACTAAGTTATTTTTCCAAAAGAACAGCAAAAATATCCTTGATTTGAAAATAGAACTTTTCAAGTGCTACTGAAATCTACAGAGAATTAAACTTCAGTGCCTGGTTCATTATCCTCGAAACATTCTAACCTGTATCAGCAAAAGATGTACTTTTATTTTTTTAAAAGAACAATAAAATCAAGAGAAACTAATTTTCAACTACTGTGTGGTGGTGGTCAGTAAATGCCGCTTTGTGCTCCTGTGTTCTTAACGGTGGTGAAAGATTTTTGTTTTTTTAACCAAGTAAAACTAAGTATTTTAAAACCTACTTTTTAAACATTTCCTTTCAAATAAGTTTCCTAGAACTGTATTTGGGATACGTTTGTGTGTTTTTCAGGGTATGTTAGCATTTGGTCTTTTAGCTGAGTCTCAGGGTTCTCCCTGTTCGAGCCCATGGGGTCAGTGCATGGAATGGGTTGTGTTGAATGAACTGTTGCGAGGAATCTTTCTGGAACACGCACGCTGAAGAAGGAAAGGGCTCGCAGCCTGTTTCTTAAGGCCCTCACATGAAGAATGGTTTTTAGTGCTTTTCAAGGGCTGTTTAAAAACAAATGAATCTATGACAGACTATATGTAAACTATTTATTCTCTGACCTTCACAAAGTCTGTTGACCCATGCGGGGTGAGGTCTTGTGTTTTAACTTAAAAATTCAAGGAAACGGATTCTTTATTTTATGTACATACTGGTTTTGATGGATAAAGTTCTTCCTGGTCACGTTCCTCCTCCCTGAGCCTTGGGCTGCCTATGTCCTGGTTGGGGAAGCCCCTCACACACACTCACTTTGCATCTCCGTTCTTCCTGCCAGGTGGGAACTTGGGCAATTTATTTCACTTCCCTAGGCTTTAGTTTCTCCATTAATGAAATAACCTTGACTTCATGGGATTGCTAAGTATTAAACGAGAACGTTCCCCCCATTCTTTCACTCTGTAGAAAACAACAGAAAAGCCGACTACATTCTAGTGATTTATAACCTTTTATTTATTGTGAGGGTGTCCTTAAATACAGTTGGGGTGCATATAAAACAGTGTAACATTCCTGCTCTTATCCATTAGAGCAGTGTCTCCTTTTTAATTCAGGTGGCTATGGAAGGCACTTGGTCTCGGTGAACTGTGTGCATCTGAGGTGTGGTAACCAGGATGGGGAAGGAATTCTCAAACAAGGTCCTACTCACAGCATCAGAAGGGTACACAGGTTAGGGAATGGCTTGGGTGTGGGGTGGGGGGGGGCAGTGGCACCCATTTTGGTGACTTTCTCCCCATTTTATGTAAACTAAGTTGCCAGTGATTAAATTACCGTGGATATAGTTTTCTAAAAACTCAAAACCTCTGCACAATTCATTGTTGGGGGGAGTGGATGTGTCTGTGTCTCCTGTTGGCTTCTCTCATTTGGTACACAATTCAAAACTTAAATTAGATACCCTGAACACAGGGTGGTGTTTTTTTAATGTTCATTGTGAGGGGTGTCTGTGATGTCTGGAATTTGAGAACAGTTTTAGACAGTGCTAAGCAGAGTCCACTGGGTGTTGTCTTGTTTTGTTTCCATCAAGTTGTCTATTCACTGGCTTTGGTTCCGTTGAAGTCTGCATCGCGAGCATCCATTTCCTCATCTGAACCATCTGCGTTTTCAATAACCCTGCGTCCTCCAGACCTTCTAGAGGGAACAAAAGAGGTCTCGTTTCCTCGCCTGTGGGTTTTAAGAAAACACACATTTTTTTAGAACAGAAATCTCCCTCGAGGTTGTAAGAGACTTTTAGACGGAGCTAAGAACAAACTCAAATGAGGCACAAGTACCGAGGCTGAAGTCAACAATCTTGACCAGTTTCAAGGTATGGTTACATTTGATCAGCTTGAAGCGGGGTGGAGCGGGGTGGCAGGGGAGTAGGTTCTGCAGAGCAGGACTGTTGGCTTTAAAAAAAAATGCCTGGCCCTGTCATTTGACGACGCACAGGATTCTGGTCTGCGGTGACCACGTCCTGATAGGTTTACTCATACCCTGTAGGGTAGGTGTGAAGGAGAAATGTCATGTTCTCATTCTACACCTTGTCTTCAGCGGTAAAAAAAGGAAGAGTTTTAGGTTTTCAATCGGAAGAAGATGAACATGAGTATTAAGGTCAGCCCTGAGCGGGAAGAGGTCACTGCATGGGTGCTGGAAGGTTGCTTCCTGGTTAAAGGCAACACAGCGCCCCCAGCATTTGCGAAGCAGAGTTCTTGGGCTGAGTTACCCCAGGGTGGGGATCTCATCTGTGTTTTGCTCACCATGGCAGCCACCCTTCTAGGCTTATAATAGGTGCTCCATGACCTCGTTAGAAAAATAAGTTGAACAAGTTAATCCAAGATACATTTTAGCCTAGCTGGTAGGACACCCCTTTCCGTTCTTACTGCTCCCTTACCCTCCATCCTGCCTGATGCCTTGAGTTACCCTCTGGTGGCCTGCTGAAGTGAGGCTTTGTGTAGGAGGCAGGGCAGGCAGGAGGAAGAGAAGTCCAGTCCACCTGCACTTAACTTTTACGGTTGGGAGAAATGTTTGCCTCCTTTTCAGTGACCACAACAAATAATTGTGTTGGGCTCTGGCCACCTGGCCCTGTTTTGAGCTGAATCAGAGGTCAGGTCTTAAATCATTTTAGGATGTCTAAGAAGAAAGCGGACTTTTGTAAGAAAAACAATCCGCTTGACCACACAAAGGCTGGACAGAAAAGCCACGAAGGTGAGCCCATCCCAGTTATCGATACTGTAATCAAGGACAAACTGGACAGGTGTGATTGGAGGCAGAAGCAAGGCTCAGAGAGTCCTGATCTGCTGAGAAGGGGAATCCCAACAGATTGGGGTCCGAGGGTGGGAGAAACCCAGGCTGGGAAAACCCACCGGATGGTATTCCCAAGGTACAGAGGTCAGGAGTAAATACTTGAAGTTGTAGCCACTCCTAGCTAGATGCAGGCCAGATTCATTCACATCGGGGCCTCCTGCTCCATTACAACTAAATTTCCGTCACTCACTCTCTCCCTCTAGCAGCGGCCTTAAAAGACTTTTTCTAAGAACCTGGGTGAGCGCGCAGGGTCACAGAGCACTGGGGCAGCAGCAGCGGCAGCCCAGGCAGCTCTCTATTTGTACCTCGGTCCATGGCATGGCCCGGGGCCAGGAAGCAGTGCCTCCCTATGCTTCCAGGCTCCGGGCATTCTGACTCCTGGAAGAGTCTGTATGTTTTGGCTAGAAGAGTTTAATTGATAAATGTGTTTCCTTGATCTAAGGAGGAAACTGTGCCCTGAGTCACTAAGTCCCCTGGTTAGGCTCCAGTCCTATGAGCCTGTTGGTTCTGATTCAGGTGTCTTTCTGGAAGGAAATGGTTTCAAGTCCTCAGCAAAGGTTGACACTGGCTATATCTGTCACAGGAAATAAGGGATCCCTCTAAAGATCTCCTTAAAGGGTCTGGCCCTGGAGAATTTGGATTCTGTTTGTGGACTCAGAGAACTTAGAGCACTGCTGGCACTCCAGGACCAGAACAAGCGTTTGAGTGCCTGCTGCTCCAGCAGCCCTAGAATTCAGCTCATCCTATGACCCCCATGAGCTGGCAGGAGTGTCTCGAAAGCTGTCTCTCTTAAATGCTAAAAGCTCCTGCCAAGACCTCATCCAGCTTTAAGTATTTGGAAAGTGACAGCAAAGCTGAGATTCTTGAGAAGACAGATACAAGTCAGGGCTTGCTTGGCCTCTCGAGGATGATGAGAGGAAAACCAGGTCCCAGTTGCCTAACTTTACATGTGAAAAAGTTGCTAGAACCCCAGAGAAGTCAAGGCCTCTTAACTCAGTATCGTGAAGGGGCCCATGTGCTTCCTAGAGTCTCGAGTGTCCATTCCCCAGTATGTGAGTACGTGCCTGTGAGACTTCTGGAAAAGGCTCTGCCGGGGCTATGCACAGCTCTGTGTGGTGGTCCATGTCCACCCTTGTACACTGAAAATTCAGCTAGGAGCTAGGCCTTGGCGAAGCCTGACACAGCCCCAGCACTTGTAAGGCATCATGGTGAGCTCTTATTTTCTTGGCTGACACGTTTGTGAATGCCCAGCCATGGGGGGACAAATTTCTGGGCTGTGGTACCATGAACCTGCACTTTGTTAATCTGATTAGTGAACTAGACCCGCCAGACTGAAGCCATTCTCCAGGAATGTACCCACATTGTGGAGCTGTGGTACCTGCTCAGTACAATGTCTTAGGTGGATGAGGGAGGACAGCATAGCCGAGTGTCCCTAACAGTGTAAGAGAGGCCCTCTTATGCAGGTAAGAACAACCTAAGTGACACAGCCTCTAAACTCTCGTCAACACGCGGTGACAAGGACACATTCGGTGCCACGTCATGCCAAAGCGGAAGTAGAGAAGGGGAATGGGTCAAGACACGAGGTCTTCTTGTGTTGATCTTGGTTGCGATGAAAGACAGTTTTGAACTAAGATGTCTAAGCCTTCAGATTTTGCAGGAATCTTGCAGAAATTTGCAAGGGCCAAAAAGGGGGCAGGAAGGGTGCGATGGGCAGGAAGGAAATGGAAACTGAGTGTAACACACAGGAGCTGCAGTGAAGGTGAAGGCATGATACCTGGTGAGTCATTGCAGAGTTTCCTGGGGGAGGGGGCCTCTGAAACAGAGAGAGAGAGTCCTTGGTGGTTATCATCGGACAGACGGGAGGGGGCCCATGTAAGTGCCTTTTCAATCATGGAGGCATTTGCTTCAACTAAATAATTACAGGCACTTTTAAGTCAACCTTCCAGTGAATCACCTAAAGCCCAGGCTGTTGTGCAAAAGGACAGGCTACTTTTTTTTTTTTTAAGTCAAAAAGCATATTTCTGTCTTTCTGAGCTTCTTTAAAGAGCACAGGTGGCTTCCTCCCATTATGCAGACCTGTTCAGGAAGGTAAAGGCATGTGAGAAAGGTAGTTGAAAGATCCATGTGGGAAGAGTCTCAGACAAAGAACCCGCTGCAAAAATCTCACTGTTACTACTTGGTCTTCGTTGCCTTTTAGGCCTATAGCAAGAAGGTAGAGGTGGACGCCTTGGGCAGCGCATGTTGGAGATGTGGCACATGATGAAGACCGTGGGCAGGCTCTAGGAGGGCTTGTGTTGAGATTTATCTGGCTGATAAAACTATGGAACTTGTTTGTA